ACCCTCTTTATTACATACATTAGATGTTTGTATTATTTCCCTCCCCAAAAAAAAATAATCCAATCAGCTCCTTATAGATAAGACAATTTTATATTCCGTTCTAGTACGATTAGCTGCAAAAATCTCCCCAACAAAAAAAGGAACAACGAGATTTAGTTGGCTTTCCTCCATTTTAGTCTTTTTTTTTTTAATGTATCTATAAAGATCAAATTATTTAAAAAAACAAAACAAAGAGGAAGCTACACAGAGAGTTTGAGCCACAGAGAAAAGAGCCGCGTGTGATCAGGTTCCGGTGCAGGAGTTTTCTCTTTGTGTTTTTGTGCCGTCCTGTGTTTGTCACCTTACTCGTGTCATTTGTCTTTATACGAAACAATTATAGCCAAATCATGACTCCAGGTTACAACTGGAAATCATCGTTTTTGGTTCAAGTATTAGAGAAAAAAACAAAAAACTGAGAAGAATGTATCCATGTGACATTCTTATACAACTTTGTTCTGTAAACTTTTTTTTTTTTACATGCCAAAAAACATGCGGGCAATATGTGGATGTAAGTCTCCGGCACAGTAACGTACTCGTTTTTTTTACTTCTGATCTTCCATTTTTTTGTCCCGTGGTATTTTTGGTTCTCATTTTTATATTCTTTGGTTGGGGAACTTTCATTTTCCTTCTTTTTAGTTTCTACTTCGTTTCTTAAGTTACATTTTTGTTTCCAAGCTTTTGCACTTATAATTTCTTTGTGGTATTTCGTGATTCAGATATTTGATTTATTTTGCATTTGCTGTGCTTTTATTTTCGGTGATTTTCTTTTTCTGTTGAAGTTTTCATCATTTTCGGGTGGGGGGACTTTTCTTCATTGTGTCATTATTTTGGTTTTATGGTCCATGCCAAAAGAAATATAAGATACATTGATCTTTTTAGACAGGAAATATTAATGTAGATTCTATTTAGGAGATGCTTTAGATGAGGACAATGTAGGTAGATCATCGATGTATTACTACATCTGAGGAGGAGGGGAACACAAGGACAGGACACAATGTAGGTAGATCATCTATGTATTACTCCAGCTGAGGGCTGAGGAGGGGAACACAAGGACAGGACACAATGTAGGTAGATCATCTATGTATTACTCCAGCTGAGGGCTGAGGAGGGGAACACAAGGACTGGCCCCATGTAGATAGATCATCTATGTATTACTCCAGCTGAGGACGAGGAGGAGAACACAAGGACAGGACACAATGTAGGTAGATCATCTATGTATTACTCCAGCTGAGGGCTGAGGAGGGGAACACAAGGACAGGACACAATGTAGATAGATCATCGTTGTATTACTCCAGCTGAGGGCTGAGGAGGGGAACACAAGGACAGGCCCCATGTAGATAGATCATCTATGTATTACTCCAGCTGAGGACGAGGAGGAGAACACAAGGACAGGACACAATGTAGGTAGATCATCTATGTATTACTCCAGCTGAGGGCTGAGGAGGGGAACACAAGGACAGGACACAATGTAGATAGATCATCGTTGTATTACTCCAGCTGAGGGCTGAGGAGGGGAACACAAGGACAGGACACAATGTAGGTAGATCATCTATGTATTACTCCAGCTGAGGACGAGGAGGAGAACACAAGGACAGGACACAATGTAGGTAGATCATCTATGTATTACTCCAGTTGAGGACGAGGAGGGGAACACAAGGACAGGACACAATGTAGATAGATCATCTATGTATTACTCCAGCTGAGGACGAGGAGGAGAACACAAGGACAGGACACAATGTAGGTAGATCATCTATGTATTACT